TCCAAGGGCGTTCAAAAACGAGGAATTTAAATAGAGACGCTGGGCCAGAAGAGGCTTTCAGAGGCCCAAGAAAGACACCGGTGTCAAGCTAATCGTTTTTATTGTTTTCCATACAACAGAAGGTCTCCCCTTACATCACTGTTACTACTGAGAAACAGCCGCAAGTTAAAAACCCTACAAAAAGGCCCTCACATCTTCGTATTCAACTGAGAGATGCCTGCTTATGGGCATAGTGGGAGCTGGTTAATGAAATGGTCTGACATTTTCATACAAAAGATCGTATAATCCCTCAGTTTGAAAGGCTGAGACGGGCTGGCCTAGTTATGTCATAATTACAAAGCCCAACAGACAGAATTGCCACACTGCCCTCAATAGCAAGGGAATGTTTTATGAAGGCATCCCTTCACCTAACAGAATAAAACTGGCCGGTCTGTGACCATACCAGCCTTTCCACCCATCACAGGATTAGGGGAACACCTAAAGAGATTACTGTGCATTTATTTTACCTTCTACTTCATAGCAGAGGGTAAATGCAGGTTTCCTTTTTCTTTCCTGGTACCTCAGCATCTCCACTTTTTCTCTGCCAGGGACGTCAAACTAACTGGAAGGAGAAAAGGCAGTTCTGTGCTACACTGTGCTCTATGACCTAGAGTGTAAATTCAGAACTGAGTACTTTCTGCAAAACATGAGGGATTACCATTGATATCAGCAGGAGGTTTGCAGAATGATAAAGGGGAGGAAAGTGTCTTTTGATAGTAAATAGAAGTTTCATAAATATTTATTTCTGTCGTGTTCACCTTTAGTAAGTTCCTGTTTGGTTTTTAGAGTGCTACCTTATCAGCTCATCGCTATTTGTATCCTCATTTTTGTTGTCCTGTTCTTTACCTGCTGTTTCTTTCTTCATGCTTTTCTTTACCTGTGGTAGTTCCTAGCCAATGGACCTCACTTGTATATTTTGTTCAATCCAGGCACTAAAATAATAAGCAATTAGGTCACTGAAGTTGGTAGTGAAATGTCATTTTCAGTTCTTGCTCTACTGAGCTTTAGACTATTGCCATTATAGCCTTGAAAGGGCAGAAATAGCCTTCCTTTGGTGGAAACTGGAATTCCAGACCATTTGAGCGTATGCCATGCACCGCAGAGGTAAATAACTAGGGTGCAGCAGTGCCCCAGCTCAGGCACGGGCCCCCGTTCCGAGTTCCTCACTGCCTGGCCGGCGAGCGCTTGTTTGCGCTACCTTTTCAAGCAAATTCACAACTAGAGGTAGAGACAGAAAGAAATGAGACGTGAATATATTCCACTAACCTCTTATTTAATATGGTATTATTATTAATTACTAACACCAGCTCCTCATGTCAGCTAAGTCATCGAGAGGAGGAACAGGTTGTTGCCTGAGAAGTGATTTGATCATTTTCTGTTGTAAAAACATTGCCCCCATTTGCACCTATAAACTGCAGACTCATCAGGGCCAGAACATGCTTTTATCTGCTGTGAGCGCATAAGAATAGCTACTCAGAGGTTAAAGTATTTGCCCAGGACACAGGAAAATCCCATGTTTTGTTCAGTGAGGAGCTCTTCCTTTTTGTCTGGATAGGCAGGAGAGGTGATACCAAGGAGCAAGGTGCGGAGATCTCCAGAGAGCCATGACCGGAACTGTGTTGCCAGGTCAGCGCAGCACCATACATAGGTTAATTGACCCTGCCAAGAGACCGGATTTATTAGCTGGATGCATTCATTTAGAGATCCAATCCAGTATCTTTGCTCAGGGACTTATAACACAGTGCTGCTTTGTAACAAACAAACGTTCCTGTAACTTCTCCTGTGTTTCAATTCCCTACATATTCCATGTAGACAGTTTTTTTTAACTGAGGGGAATTTTGTGGATTAATTAGTGAATATGAAATGGCAAGAAAGAGTGAGAGACTACATTTAAATTGTAAGAACAACTTTCCAAAGCTTTATCAACTGTCTTGTTACTGGAAATCTTTTATGTTTTTACTT